AAAACATGGTTCACACACAACAATATGACTAAAGATATGTTTACATTGATATATAATTGTTACCATAGAAAAGGATCTGACCATTGACCTTTATTGTACTATTCTCCGTGAGGACAGTTGTCATACAAGATGAAATATATAACACTATAAACCCAATTCCACTGCACAGAGCAGTGAACTTAACAACTATAAGAAAGCAAATGTTCCATCTTCTCAAATTTCTAATATATTAAAAAAAAATAAAAAATAATCTTCGCTGTGCTCTAAACCTATGTTCCTACTGAATTCTAACTTCAAGGCAAGATCTTTTCACAATAAGCAGCTTCCAAGCATTCAAGAATCTTCAAAAGGTATTTCATATGGCTTGGTGAGAGAAGTCATGTACACGCAAGAAACCTTGATCCCTTATAAATTAGGTAATATCAGCATGGAATAAATCTGGTGTTTTGTTTTTAGTTATTTATTTTTATAACCAAGAAATCCCTGAGGGCCAACGGCTCACGGTTAGTGTACCCAGCCCTCTACCATTTCTGGTGTGCTATTGATAAGTTCAAGTCTTAATTAAAAAAGTAGCACACTAAGAAATAACTTCATTTTTGGCAACAATGAATAAAATGACAGAAGGTTTGAAGATCACTTAAAGGGACAGTTTGGTCATTACATTGACAATCAGGGACTGAGGCTCATCAAGCAGCTTCTATGCCAATTTTGTACGAATTTCAAAATTTAGGCTTTACTGCTCAAAAGAAGAATATAAAAGATGCTCAAAAGACTTCTTAATTAGCCTTCACCCTCAAAATTCATAAGCTAATATTTGACTCCTCAAAAGTCCTCTTTTTCGATCTGAAATATGAAGTTCGGGCATTTGCAACTCAAAATTGGAGCCTGGTTTTTTTTTTTTATATTCTACTAGTAAGAACCTTGTAAAGGTAAACTTCAACAAAACCTTTTATCTCAAAATAGATAGTTGATGTCGTCACTAGTGCTTGGTCTCAAGAAGCAAGTCTTTTTTTAACCGGGTATCCTCGTTTTGGCTAATATCAAATGCCAATGTGCTTGAAACATAAAGTTCGAAGTGGGAATGGATTATCGTTTGAGCTTAATACATAGTTCTACCTTCTAAGCTTCTTCCTCAATCAGGAAAAGCCTTTACACTTTGAGCATTCCAAATATTAAATATCTTTATTTGGTGGGAACAAATATGTGAGTAGAAGATCATGGTAATAGGTTATGAGATAGCTATATCATATACTATTCTAATACTTTTTTATTAGGTAGTATATTATTCTAATACTTACTGACTCTAACAATAATAATGCTGTTATTATTCAGTTATTATTATTCATGTACTATAATCTGTGTGTAACTTGTCATGAACGGTGACCAAACATCCCTAAAAGTTTAAACACACAGAGCAAAATTGGTTATAATAGAGTTAAAGCAGAACATGTTTACAAAATGAAAATTGCTCAGGATAACTAAAGAGGAGTACAAAGCTTACTTCGGCAATAAATGGCCACAATTTGCTCAATTGTTTGTTCAACCACTTGACCTGCCCATGAGATATAAAATGAGACAAAAGTAACATCGACATGATCACTACATCAATTTATTCCCTTAGATTGTATGAAGAAAGGATTGCAAAAACACCACATGATGCATAACCTCTAAAATTCACAATTGACATTAATAAAGTAGGGAGATAACTGTTTATCAACACACTATTCCAGTCAACAACAGCCAAAGCAAAACATCTCTCCATCTACTTAAAATCTCTCTCATCTTCCGTCAGTGTATCTCTTGATTCTAATTCATCAGATTCCATATGTGAATCTTTGTTTATATCTCAACGATAACAAGGTCAGTGCAACAATATGCATAGATTGATTAACTTCAGGATCTCTTTCAAAGACAGGAAGATTTATCAGCTTGAAAATAAGGACACTGGTTCTTCGAGCTCTTCTTTCGAAGATATTAACAAATTTATCCACATTTCATTGAACTTTTCACTACACAGATATAAGAGTGAACGCTACAAAGGGGGAACTGAAACAAGTAAAGCCATCCAAACCTGCTCATAAACCGGGAATGATATCCATTCAGGAAAGTTATCACCACACACTTTCTTTAGATCATCCCTGTTGAGGCAGCCCATTAGTTTTACATCTACTGCCTGTAAAGGAAGTAAAACATAACGAGGAAAATGAATACCAATCCTTCATAAAGTGAAAGCATATCAGAAACCTAAATGTTGTCCGCAAGCATGATGATGAGCATCATGTAAATATTGGCACTAGCACTAAAGAAACTGCAGCCCAGATTTAATACTACTTATAGCAGAAGTGTTATGGAGCTATATCCGGTTACCGGTATCACCTCATTCGGTGCAAAGTCAAGCATCAAGCAGCCAAATACTATCACATCGGCAGCAAATGTGCAACAATATTATACGCATCAATAGCAGAAACTGACAAATATACTACTCAAACATATAGCTATACATCATAGACCATAAACTACTTCAGATAGAATGGAGATCATGTTCCAAGTCTGGGACAGTTGTGCGCTTCATGTTTTGACTATCAAATGTTAAGACTACTCCTCGACACTTGCGGGACATTAGATAAAATTGGAACAACATAGAGAAGATTAGAATGACCCCTGCACACACAAGAAGATTAAAGAGTACTTCTCTTATTTCTCCCCTGTAAGCTAGGTCGTTCATTCCAACTTCCAACTCGAAACCATTTCACAACGTCTCCATTGAAATCATTGGAATGATCCCTAGTCAACATACTGCTTCAGCTACAATTCTTCTCAAGCAACAAAAGGAAAGACCTATGACTAGTAGAAGCTTCAACTAAGTCAACTAACAAAATCACAGAATTATCACCACTTTCAGTTGTACACTCTTCAGGCCAGAAATTAGGGTTGCAACTGACACTAACCCACCTCACCCGCACTAAGGTATGACCGAAGAGAAACAACATTGTTTGTCTTGAAATACAAACTATAGCAAAACCCAACTAATTTGTGAAAATGTTGGGACTGAGGCATTTTTTTAGACTGAAGAGTAATTGTGGTCATGAAATATACTTCAAAAACATTAAACTCTGGAGTATGGCAAGAATATATATACCTTAGCAACTCGTTTGTTACTCCTGTACCTCATCATATGTTTCCAAGCTGCCATTAAACCGATCCCCAAGATCATCCCCATTAATATCCCAGAAATCAACCCCATTCTACTTCAGATCACTTCAAACACCAATTTCCCTATAAAATTGAGAACCTCGAATATAATAAAATTAATACCAAAAACAGAAAACACAAAAAAGAAAAGTTTAACTAATGAAGTTCAAGAATCAAAGAGTTATTCCAAGATTTAAAACTGAACTGTTATAAACAAGCAAAACCCACCTCTAAAAAGAATATCTGGGTCTCTGCTGAAACTTTTTGCTTCTCCGACAAGAAAATTATTGATCTTTTTCAGAAGTGGGTCTACACACGAAAATGGGGTTGCTTGGCATTCTTTTCCTCCAAAAAACTTTGAAGAAAAATAAAGATACTTATCTTTTACCTATTTCATTGTAGACATAATTAACGAAATGAATGAGGGTTTAACGGTTACGTACCCTGGTCTTGAGAGTGGTCTTTCCTGTTTCTTTGCTTTGCAATAAATTTTCAGATTTAAGTCTTGACTTTAGAGTTTTTTTGTCCGTTTCATACAACTTATGGGTTTTTGCAGACATGCCCCTATATTTTTGGGGTCACCAAATACTATTATCCATAGGTGATGTAGCCCAATGATTGAAAGATTCATCTCTCTTTTAAACTTTAGTGCGTAGTGGTACGTACCCTACCACTTGGAATTTTGGTGTTGGGGGCTAACAAGCATCTCCCAATCAAAATTGGATGAGGCAGGGCCAGATGTGTACTTATAAGTAATAACGGGTTTAATTAAATTCATAACTTCAAACGCGGAATAAGAATTTATATATAAAAATTCATTAAAATTGTAACTCATAACTTAAAAAATAATAAATTTAATACTAAAACCTTAGAAGTTAAATACATAAACATTAAATCATGAATCCCCCTCCAGCAATGTTGGATGATTCTTTACGTGGCCAAGTAGGTCCTTTTTGCATTTACATCGTGTTAAATCCGTTTGTGTGTACTTTTCTATTTGAGCATGTACTTATATTATTTTACGGGTAATTTAATTTATCAAGACTTAAAATAGAATATCTATTTTATTGATTTGGACATGAGGTGACCATTTAGTAAACAATTTTGACATGGTTTCACTCGTGTAAAAACGGCTTCTCTTTTACTCCCTCCGGTTCACAATAAGTGATCAGTTTACTTTTTTATTTTGGTTCAAAATAAGTGTCCAGTTATGTAATCAAGAAAAAATTCAATTTGTTTTTACTTTTTTACCCTTATGTGCATATCCCTAAAAAGTTTTCTCACTCCTCAATATAACTATGTGACTAATATTTAATAAGGGTAGTTTAGTCATACTAGGTATTTTTGTATAGGATTTAGCATTTTCTTAATAGGCGTGCTAAAAGGAAACTAATCACTTATTGTTAAAAATACCTAAACTTTTATTTCCAGTATATAGTTTCTCATTTATGGATTATGCGTTGTTGATTGGTCTATGTTTTGAGATCTGAACATTCTTTGTCTTAAAATATATCCGTGTCATACAAAGCACTTGAAAAATGTAGTAACATTTAAATTTCACCAGCAAACTATCCACTTTTCGAGAAATTTAAGCACCCCTAGAGTAAAAACTTCCACGGCCGTTTTGATACCACCGGGAACAGAAAAAAGTGTATGGTCGAAATATTGTATCTTGTTCAAGTTTCTAGAGTAAATTAAATTTCTATTCATATATACGAGTACAACTTAAATTATGTGTATAAAGACTCCTGCATTAATATGTTCAATGTACTTCGTTCACAACCAAGCCACAAAGAAACAACCAAAAGTCGCAAAATCATCAGGAAGTTTTATAAGAATTTTCTTGGTGAAAGTAGATTGCTCAATGTAGCCCTGTGGTAAATACAGGGCAAGAGTCACTAAAACAAGGATAGTTGAATAAAAAATATGCTTATATGTTGAATAAAAAACCCTGTAATAATTTGAATTAACTCCTTTTCTTTCTCTCATTTCTAAACAATAAGATAGCTCCAACAACTCAATCTGCCAAGGAGCTATCCAGATCCTCAAGAGAACTAGTAAGTATAGTCCTGCTATCTCAGAGTAAATGCAACACCAACATTACAAGTATAGAAACCACCAAGAAGGAACCAGCACTGCTCCTCACACCACCACCGTTAGGGCGGCTGGTTACCACGGTAATAGGCGGTGACTCCGCCTCGACCGTGGATGGCGGTTCCACATAGGATGGAGGAGGTGGTTGGTTGAGGCTCGGAGGAAGTCCTATACCATGTCCCACTTTGATCTCAAATGCCATCCCATTCAGGCATTGGGTGCCATCATCAGCATCGGAGAAGTAGTATTGTGGTCCCTCGATGGTCAATGGAACAGCGACTGTCATTGCTTCCCCAAACTCATTGCTGCCTCCTTGATACTGAAATGTATCATCATCTGAAGCATCATCCATGCTGCAATTCCTATATGTCGTCTCATTGTATGTTTGAATAACTGTCTGATTGGTGTTTGTACTAAATACTAAACACATAAATTAAAAACAAATCAGAATACCGTGATATACAAAACCAACATATGATAAGTTAGCAATTTGGTAACTATTGCAAATAGCAATAAAAAGTTTCAATGAAATTCGGAGTTCCTCCCAGGTTCGCCAGCTGGAAAAAATACAACAGAGAACGTAGAACAGTTCATACAATTGGGAGACTGATGAATTATGAGTGAAACACGATCACATGTGCCATGTTCTGTATAATCTCAAGATCGCTTAGTTGTGACGTTCATCATACTTATGAGTTATGATCACATGTAAACACACCAGCAATCCCTTTAACAGCACTGAAATTTTTCTACTGGAACTATCAGAAACTTATTAGCTACACCTCCCTTACATAATCAATTATTCTTTCTTTGATTAGACAATAATAGACATGCAAGATAAGAAAATTGTAAGCTACTCTACTCCTGTTTCTAGATCATAGTTATCCCAATAGTTGTACACTAAGAAAGTGTAACTTTTGCATCAAGATAACAGGACATGGAATAGGAAGTAAACCGTCTTCATTAGCGCCCCTGTATCCTTCAAGAAAACAAGTGGGCAATCCATTAACTACCTAAACTCCATTTCACTTCGACTCGCTAAAACAGCAACGCAACCTACCTCAAATATTTTCAGAAGATAGTGGATCAGATGACATATGATTGAAACAGGAAATAAAGATTCTAGGATGAAATGCAGGCCAAAAGTCCCTTTTTTCAAAAAAGGATAATATTTACCGACTTAACTAACGTTAAACAATAATAATTTCTGGTAGAGGACATTGTACTCTCCCTACACTGCCCAAATGGGTTTATGCTATTACCACATTAAAGTAATCATTTACTCCATAAAGATGTCTTTTTCGACTTAAAAGCACCTCCTCCTTCCATCAGAAACAATAATCACATGTGGCATGTTCTGTATAATCTCAAGATCGAGAGATGTGAGGTTCATCATACTTATGATCACATGTGAACACACAAAGCAATCCCTTTAATAGGACTGACAGCTCAATTATCACATCTAACTTTTTCTACTGGAACTATCAGAAACTTATTAGCTACACCTCCCTTACACAATCAATTATTCAAATGGAACTTTTGGACTTGAAAGAATCAAGTTGAATTTTTTTTTTTTTTTTTTGACAATGTAATCAAGTTGAATTTTTATATATTAGACAATAATAGACATGCAAGTGATAAGAAAATTGAAAGCTACTTTACTCCTGTTTCTAGATCATAGTTATCCGAGTAGTTGAACACTAAGAAAGTGTAACTTTTGCATCAAGATAACAGGACGCGGAATAGGAAGTAAGCTGTCCTCATTAGTGCCACCATGTCCTTCAAGAAAACAAGACTTAAACTCCATTTCACTTCGACTCACTAAAACGGCAATGCAACTACCTCAAATATTTTCGCACCTTAGATCTAACCACTTCACAGCATATCTAAAGATAGTGGATCAGATGACATATCATTGAAAGAGGAAAGAAAGATGAAAAGCACGCCAAGAGTCCATTTTCCCCCAAAAAACGTTAAAATTTCTTTTAACTAAAGTTAAACAACAAGAATTTCTGGTAGGGGGTGCATTGTACTCTCCCTACAGTGCCGAGATGGATTTATGCTATTACCACATTAAAGTAATCATTTACTCCATAAAGATGTCTTTTTCGACTTAAAAGCATCAGAAGCAATAATCCAACACATGTTGTAACTTCTCTAGTCATTGGTCTTTAATTTATGTACTAATTTTCGAGATCCGAGAAATAATGCAAGGAATAAAGGAAAAGATCTGTCAACAAAAAAGATTGTGTACCACTGATCTGCTCTATCAAATGGAAAAGTCTATAACATAAGATGGGTGAGGAGATGTAGCAGCAGAAAAGAAAGATATGCTTAGCATTCTTGAGCTTAAAAAGTCATTAGGATTTCAGGATCAGGGAATGTAAGACCAAATCAATCACTACAAGAACTTGCTCAGATATCGCCAAGTAATCGGCAATAACCACATAAGTTCCAAGTTAAAAATAAATTCTGATCTCTCAAGACTCTTCGCTAGCATCCCTACTTGCCTCAGATACAAAAAGTGGATCCAACACTCAAGTCAATGGGTGTAGAGTACCACAGGATTCACTACTCCTTTGTGGCAAAGGATACAAACTGAGCATAAGAATATACATTCTAAGGAACTTCAACAATATATACTCGAACAGGTACAGATCAGTCACTGTTTAGATTATGTCTAGTAGCTCCAAGTTTTACTAATAGCAGAAAATATAAGTTTGTTAACAAGTCTATCTCCCCAAAATCCACAATTAGATTCAACTCCTCCAATCGGAATAATCTAAAAGGGAGTAACCTTGACTTTAAAAAAATATATATATATATTACCCTGCTCAGTCTTACTAAAGATGTTCAAGCAGTCAGCAACTTAAGCAAATATCAGAGAGTCAAACATTAAATATCTTCAATTTACAAGTCAAAAGCAAAGCAGATCAAGCATTTAAATTTCCATCCATCTCATCTCCCCACTGTTTCATACATATTCGACTAAACCCATCAAACAAGAATTGATAATGACCAAAAAGGGTGCTAAAAAATATCAAGAACTTACTCAAATAATCACCAAGATTAAAAGTCTGTTTAGCAGCCCAAGCAGAGTAATCAGCGGAAGTCTTTTTAGTGTTGATGTTGTAGAACCAACCAGCTGGACCACCAACTGTGTGGTTTGTGTATTTTGCAGTTGACTGTGAAGCTGCCAAATTGAAGAACAGAGCCACGGCAACAAAGAAGACCATGGAATCCACCGCCATGGCCATGTGGGAGAAATGGGCACAGTTGTGTTGGCACTAAAAGGTTTGACGATCTGGAATTAGTTGCTTTTACTCGTGACATACGTAAGGTATAATATAAAGAAGAAATAGCACCGGACACGTAGGAGTAATATTTTATTATGCGACACATGGTACTGGACCAGAGTCCAGACCTGGTGTGGAAAAAGGGAATACTATTATGTTCTTTTCTTTTGTTTTTTCCTTTTAATTTTTCATATAATCAATTTAACTCAGCTTATATACACATCAATCCAGCTGAAAAGGGAATGCTGTTATGTTCTTTTCTTTTCCTTTTTTCATAATCAATTCAACTCAGCTTAAATACGCATCAATTTAAAAAAAGATAGGGTGACTCTTACTCTGCCATTGTCCACTCAAGTGCAACGATGACTCTTTGAACTTGACACTATGTTTATATAGAAGATTTAACCCAAATAACCGTCAACCTAACCTCTTAAACTAAAAATAGCTGATAGACGTATAATATATGCATAATTTATGTATTATATATGTATAATAATGTATAATTAATATATAAACTATGTATATGGCTAGAAAAAGTAATAATAAATATGACCGATTATTTGTGCAAAGATCCCTTTTATATAAACACTTTAGCAACCGTTAGTAAAAGAAAATGTGTTTACTTAAATCCTCTTCTAATAATGCATAAAAAAATGTGTGACACCCAAAATAGTGAATCTTGATGGTGTATCTCAACGATCTATGACATCCAAGATAAACCTTTAAAAATTGGGCTTTTTTCATTTTCAGCCCGTACCAGAAATATTTTGAAACGAGCTCACTGAAGAACTCTAACAATGCAGCCCTAAGGAATTTAAGATAAAGAACAGTCTCCAAACAGATTCGCACTCAAGTGTGAGAATTAGAATTGAAATAATAGAAAGTTGGGAATTATTGATCGAAATGATTCTTACAAAAATATGCATACCCCACTGATTCTGTTACACAGTATTTAACTACCTCTAACTGTAACTATCTCTCTAACCACTTTTCAGCTGCCAAACGACTTTGATAGAAAAGACTAAAGTACCCCTAGTTTAACTATGTAAAATGTCTAAAATGCCACTATTATATTTTTCACTATAATATGCCTATAACAAATTCCCCCCTACTAAAAAGTCCTTGACCTCAAGGACTAAAGTGAGGAAACTGCTGCTGAAGCACATGAAGGTCTAGCCAAGTACTATCTTCTGGGGAGCACTTGAACCACTTCACAAGAGCTTGAGTAACCGGTCGTCCATGTTTCGAAATTACCCTTTCTTCTAGGATAGCTTCGGGTTCCAACACAATGTAGCCATGAGTAGATAAGATAACTGGCAAGTTTGGGACAGCAGGAATAGTGCCCACATGCTTTTTTAATTGAGACACATGAAAGGTGTGATGAATCTTGGCTAGAGCTATCAATATGGGTGGGGTCGGGCTAGTCCAGCCCACGTGGGCTTAGCAATTGATGGGCTGGGCTGGGCTAGCCCACCATTTTGATGGGTCTTATAACGATCAGCCCACCCCAGTCCTATGTGGGCTACGGCCCCCCACGGGCCGGCCCATCATTATTAAAATATAATTTTATATATTTTCTTTAAGTTCTAAACTAAAAAAAACATAAATATTTAAAAGTAAAAAAAAAATCTTATTGGAAAATTTTCACAAAACTTAGTAACTTTTTATACGGTTCTAATATATCACAATAAACACTAAAAAAAAGTAAAAGAAAAGACTATATTTCATTCGCTAAAAGTCAAAACTCAAAACAAACTATTCAAGAGAACGCCTATGACGCTTATGTGATATCTAACACATCATCTTCATCAAACACATTTGAATCTGCTTGTGAGAAGGTTGTCTTAACATCTTCACTTTCTTCTACATCTACAATTCGTATGCAATATTAATTATTTAAATATTAAGAATAATTAAATTTTTAAAACTAATTAATATTTTAAGACTTTAATCTTTTAATATGATGAGCTTAATAAACTTTAAGCTTGGGATGCTCTTCTTATTATTTTTTGTGTCATATACTTTTTACATTTTATATATTTTACATACGTGTTTTTATTAGGCCTACGAGCCGGCCCGGCCCAGCCTCAGTCAAGCCTTACGGGCCTCAGGCTTACTCGGGTAGGGCTTAAAAGCCTCATTTTTAAATGGGCTTCAAAAATTATAGCCTAGCCTGCTAAATCATGGGTTGGGCTGGCCCCAAGGGCCAAGCCCATATTGACGGCTCTAATCTTGGCACTGGGAGGAAGAGACAGCTGATAAGCAACCTGCCCAATCTTTTTCATGACTCTAAATGGTCCAAAGTACTTGGGATTCAGCTTATTGTAGGAGTGCCCCTTCATGGACATCTGTCTATAAGATTACAGCTTGACCAATACCATATCTCCTTCTTCAAAGCTTTTGGGAGTCCTCTTCTTGTCAGCTTGTGCTTTTATCCGGCATTGAGCTAATTGGAGATGGTGTTTCAGTAACCTCGCAGTTGCTTCCCTAGCTTGCAAACTCCTGTCCACCTGTTCTACCATTAAGCTGTGAGTTATATAAGGTAAATACAGTGGTGGTTTTTGTCCATATAGCACTTCAAATGGGGTCATCTTGATGGCAGTGTGATAATTGGTGTTATACCACCACTCAGCAGGCGATAGCCAAGTTGCCCACTCTTTGGGCCTGTCATTGCACATGCATCTCAAGCAGCCCTCAACACATTTATTAACAACCTCAGTTTTCCCATCAAATTGAGGGTGGTAGGCAGTAGTATGGTGTAATTTAACTCATTGAACATCATATAAGGCTTGCCAAAATTTGCTGAAGAAGATAACATCTCTGTCACTCACTATTGTTTGTGGCAGACCATGAAGCTAGTAAATGTTATCCAAAAAGGCCTAGGCCACTGCGGAAGCATTGTAGGGATGCATTATCCAATAAAGTGAGCATACTTGCTCAATCGATCGACTACAACCAATATCACAGACTTGTTGTGAGATTTGGGAAAGCCTTCAATGAAATCCAAGCTGATGTCTTGCCGGACTTTGTCAGGAATGGGAAGGGGTTGCAGTAACCCAAGGGACCTGATGTTTTCTCATTTACATTTCTGGCATATCTCACAGTTCTTTACAAATTTGTGGACATCTTGCTACATTTTTCTCCAGTAATATAATTGGCTGACTCTAAAGAGGGTGGCAGACATGCTAGAATGGCCTCCCATAGTAGAACTATGTAGGAATTGTAAGATTTCTTGTCTCAGGAAAGGGTCCGTGCCTACCACAATCTTATTATTCATGTATAAAACTCCCTTTTGTAGCATGTATGCAGGGTTTGAAAGGGGGTCTATTTGTAGTTGAGCCAATACTTTTTGTAGTTGAGGATCTCCCATGTAATTTCTATACCTTCACAAGAAAAGTGGATGCAACAGTAGAAATAATATGCAGCTAAATGTCAATTATATGGCACCTAGACAGTGCATCAGCCACCAGATTTTCCTTCTCTTTCTTATAAACAATGGTGTAATCGCACCCTATAAGTTTGGCTAGCCACTTCTGTTGACTAGGTGTAGAAATCCTCCGTTGTGGTAGATATTTAAGACTATGTTGGTCTATTTTGATAGTGAAATGTCTACCTATCAAATAGGGTCTCCATTTATCAAATGCAGCCACAATGGCCGTCATCTCCTTCTCATATACTGACAGTTGTTGGTACTTAACATTCAAAGCCTTGCTCATGTAGGCCAATGGATGATCAACTTGCATTAACACAACTCCAATGCCCATCCACATGCATCTGCTTCAATAATAAACTCTAAGGAAAAGTTGGTAAAGCCAAGATAGGTGTGGTACTCATGGCTTGTTTCAAGCAGTCAAATGCTCTAGTTGTTGCTTTAGACCATGCAAACTTGTCCTTCTTTAATAGTCCAGTCAGAGGTCTAGCAATGACCCTATATTCCTTCACGAACCTCCTGTAGTAACCAGTCAGACCCAAAAATCCCCTCAACTCTTTTAATGATTTTTGAATGGGCCAATCCAGCATTGTTTTAACCTTGCCAGGATCTGCAGTCACCCCTGATTGAGTGATAATATGACCTAAGTAATCAACCTCCATTTTCCCAAATAAGCACTTACTTCTTTTAACAAACAAGCTATGTTTCTGCAATACTTCAAAGTGATACATCTCATGTTTTCGTACGTTAAAGTTTCGTCTTCAGTTAACCAACGTAGACTCGGGGATGAGATTATCTTGAGGTTTGCGTATTTATGCTATTTATAACAAGCAATAAGTAAATTTCATGAAGGATAAAGGGTACACGAATTAAAGAAAATGAGAGTCGTTGAAAGTTGCCGATTTGGGATAAAATACGGGTCGAGCAATAATACCCGATATTTATGGACTAGTACCATACAAGGTTCCATATGACCACGGTAGTATGATGTATAAAGTATATTAAAAATAAGAAAAATTTTAAGTAATTTGAGACAATTTTTAATTGTGCGGGTAATTGGATAATTACCGGGTAGCGGGATATTACCTAATTAATTAATAAGGAAATAAAAATTAATAATTTCCTCCAAAAATCACGTGGCAGCTATGCCACTTTCCAAGCAATGACTCTTAGTCATTTTTGGATTAGGTGGCATAATGTCACATTTCACTCCATTTTAAAAGATCTTCCATATTCAAGGCTAACCCATAAGAATGGTAATCATTCTTACATCAAAAGCCCCTTTCAACTAAAACCCAACGTTAGCCATTTTACATCTTTCAACCAAATTTCTTAAAATCAAGAACAATAGCAAGCTTCAACAAGACGTTTTCCAACCCAAAAAAATTCAACGAGAACTTTTTTGGAAGCTTAACGACGTAAAAATTTTGTGGTTCTAAAGGGTACGGTGCAACCTTTTCCAAGAATATCATATGAATTTTTCCCTATCCCAGGTATGTTAAGGTTATCCCTTCTTTCTGTTTGGCATGGTTCAGTTATACAGAAGAAGTGAGCAAACGCATAGTTTTCATAAACGACTCTATTCATAGAAATACTAGGGGTCTCTTTGTTCTTGAT